TCGTCTGTGTCCTCTTTATAGACAAGCATGAGCATTCCACAGCACCCGGACCTCATGCTCTTGCTCCTGATCAAAACTTAGATTGAATTGTTAACAATCAACATTCCCGCAAGTACAGTGGCTGATCGTTCTGCTCCTTGGCTGGGCCTTGGACATTCCTGAAGTCCTCCTCACAGGAATCCAGGCACTCCTGGGATCCAAAAGACACCCCCCTCTCCAGAAGCCCTGCTGGACTCTCACCCTTAGAGGCTTCTGCTCCCCTCCATGCACTGCATTCCCGCTGCACAGAGGAGGCACCATCAATGAAAGCAATTAGCAAATATAATTGGGAAATACAATTAGTGTTGCAGCAAGACTAGCAGACCCTCCCCAGCTACAAACTCTGAGCCAGCCTCCCACCCCAGCCTGCTGCTGCTGCTGGAGTTCACTACAGTCTCATTTCTCTCGTTCAGAAGTGTGGGTGATGGGGAAATAACTGGCGGCAGACGATTCCCAGCATCGAGTGGAATTGTGTCCTCTTCCACACCACCCCGGCGGGCAGGGAGACAGCGGCTGCCAGTAGCACACACAGGGCAGCCACGGTGACCCACCACACAGGCCTCTGGGCCACGGTCCAGAGCATGGAGGCGGCTCTCCGTGGGGCTCCCCAGATGGTGAACAACTTGAGGTTTTGAAAGGGAAGAGTAGGACTCCATAGGGCCAGGGGAGCTGACCCCTCAAGTCTACCCCCCAGCCTCATTATGGAATGGGAGGCATGTGAGCCAGAGGTCAAGGTCAGAAGGTCGATCAAGGCCCACAATCAGAAAGGCAAATGGCCATGGCAAGCCAGCCGCCAACCAAGAATAAACAGCTGTGATGATCTCCTTTCAAAGGCAACACAAAGGTTTCCCTGGGCCCACCTCCATCACCCAGGCTGGCCTACAGGACAGACAGATAGCTACACACACACACACACACACGGATGCACATACACACTGAGGCCAGCCCACACGACAGACAGATACACACATGCATGCATGAACACACTGGGGCCAGCTTACAGGAGAGACACACACCCACGCCTGGACCCACACACCCAAACCTCCACAGCCACACTGGTGGGTTCTTGGTTTGCTTCCCCATCCCCATTCATCCTCAGACTCCTCAGTACAGGCACTCACACGTGCTTATAGTCACAGAACATCATGCAAACAGCATCTGTGCCTTTCTGATCTCTGGAACAACTGATGACAGTTGCAGGTTCAAACAGGCACAAAGGACGAAATGCAGGAAATCACTAAGTTTCTCCAAAAGGATTAGGGGGAAGAGAGGAAGGAACTGAAGATAGCTGGGTGGGGATAGGTTGGCCCACACTGCAAGGGCCACCTCTGACAGCTCTCCTGTGCTCACAGGGACCCACATCGGGTCAGAATCTTCTCTGAAATCACGTCAAACTCGTTTAATGGGGCTGCAGAACAATAATATCCCACGTGTGAACAGGACTCTACTTTTCAAAGAGGTCTCCCATCCATTATCACCTCCTAGAGAAACACTGGACAGTGAAGATGCTCATCTCCTTGGCCAAATGACCACTCACCCTCATGGAGACCAAAGATTGTTTTTCCAAAATAATCTTTAATACCTAAGCATATGTAATAGTTGTCTGAACGTACTTGTTTGTGTGTGAGTGCAAGTAGAGGCTTTATGTAGCAGAGTGGGATACAGTCAAACAAAAATGAGGTTGCCATAGCAACAGGCTCCAGCATCATCGCAGCCTATTAACACAAGTGAGGAATGTGTTTGGCAGATGCTCGAGTGTTATTTATGGTATGGGTGTAGCAGAGGGACTTCTAACAGGCAAAGAAGGAGAAAAAAACAACCCTGTGACGCTCCTACTGTACCCCGCTGAGGAGACAACAGTGAGACAAGCACAGAAGGCAAGGCTGAGGCTGCAAATGGAGAGTAAGAGATGGGAAAGCAGAAAAGCAGGCAGGCAGAGGAGAGGAGAGATGGGCAGAGAGCAACAGGGGACTAGAAGGGGAGGAAAGAGAAGGGACATGAGAGAGAAAGAGCAAGGGGAGGGGGATGGATACCAGAGGAAGAGCTAGAGGCAGAGATGTAGCAAAAGGAAGAAACATCATTCCCCAAAAGGGGCTGCCCCACCTTGCCTCTCAGCTCCCTCAAGTAAAAACCATCAGGAGGCAACTGATAAGATACTAAATGTTTCTCCTCCTAATTGGAGCAAAGGCAGAGCCCCAAACATAAAAGGCACTTGGGAAGAGTAAAATACCCAAATCAGACACTGATCTTGTTGAAGTTCTGGGCCGTGGGAGCAAAGGGGCTGGTCTCCCAGGGGAAGTGAAAAAATGCCAACACAGTTTCCTGAGGGCCTACTATGTATCCAAGGCACCGTGGAAGGAAATTCCCAAAGCCCCAACATTAGAAACCACACGTCGTGGCTCCATTTCCCTGGATGTGCATCTTCATCAAAGAAAAGAACAAACCATCCTCCAACACCTGCCACTCCAGAGCAGCCTGAGGTGGTGGGTCACGCTGGATGGTCCCACTAATATTTCCCTGCAATCCAGCAGGGTTTGCTCAAGAAAGACAAAGGTTTTTATCAGACATAATCAGAAAGGTAAATCAAACGCAAATGAAAAAAGATCCAGTTTTCTCTCAAGTCAAATAGAAAGAATGTTTGCAATGGTGGCTCATTCCCAACAAGCTCAGCTATACTCAGCCCAGCAGGTCATGGGAAGTTAAGTGCAAACCCACCCAAAAGCCTACAAACAAAGGAAGTTCTGAAGACCACAATGGGTAAAAGAAGCACGGAGTGGGAGGTGCTAGAGGTGGGGAGAGAAGGGAGAGGAAATGGCCTGAGGAACTAGAAGGGGAAGTCAATTAGACACTCTGTTGCTGCAATGGCATCTTCATGCTAAGATGGAGACAGAGTATCCCAGGTCCAGCACTCCTGTCCTGGGATCTGACTCCAATCTCCTGAAATCACATATCCTGGATTGCCTAGGGCTGTAATCAGACCCTGAGTCCCAAGTCTGGTACAGAAAATACCCTGAATGATCCTGGAAATCTCTGCTGCTCCATGTGGATGACATGCCATTCCGTCTGCAGAAAAGCTACACCCACCTTAGCAACCTGCTTTCCATTCAAACCAGGAATAACCCCCAAAGATATAATACTCATATGATAGTCTGGGTCCCCAGGTCAAAAGATTTGGAGCCTTTATAAGCACTAACAATAGTATCTAACTTTTTAAAACCAGTTCTCAATAGGTTTCTCTCTCAAGTTCAAAGCTGATCTCTAAAGATTTTTTTTTCCTTCTGATCCCAGATCAGAAAAACATTAACTTAGCATCAATAACCCCACCTACTTCACTCACTGGAACACAACCAAATTGGCAAGCAGTAATTAAATTCCCACTAAGTACCCTAACTTGTGTTAGAAAAAGGAGAGAGGGTGGAGAAGGAAAAACACATACACCTCAGGATTCCTGCATCCAAGGAGCTTACATTGGATGGGGAACAAAACCAACGGGCACTGGAGAATAAGTAAGCACCCCATCTGTGGCTCTGACTCCATTGTTGACCGTGCATTAGAGGGAGAAGCCAGTATAGCTGGAATAAAAGATGGGGCTCCTTGCAGGAGGTGAGGCTTGGGACAGAGGGGTTGGAACTGGAAGGGGCATGCATAGTGCTTTCATTTGCTAGACAAGAAAGCTGGGGCCCAGAGAAGTGGCAGGTCCCCTCCCTCCCAGTCACAGAGCACCTTGGAGGTGCAGCTAGAGCCTAGCACCCTGAAGCCCACACTGTCCCTGTGGGAGAGTACCAGACCCAGGAAGCCAGGGGGCACAGGAGAGCCCTCAAGGAAGATGCAGTCCTCAACAGGATCCAAGTCTGAGGAAAAGCACTAGAAGTGGGAAGGAGGGAGGCAATGACAATGGAATACGATAGAGAGGTTCTGTTAGAGGATGCAGATGCCCTAAGAGAGGTCGAGGGCGCAGTGGGATCCATGATCAAGAGACTAGCCTGCAGCAAGAGCCCCCTTGACTCTCACAGCCAAGCTGCACTGCAACCAAGTAGGCTCAGCAGGGGCCAATGGATGAGGCCCACGGAGCTGCAGACAAGGGAGAAAGGGTGCATGTCAGAGGAGCTGGTCTCACCCAGGGTCGCCATGGCCAGCACACATCTCTCCCACAGATCTTCAGGGGAGTCACCAGTTAACCAGGCAGAAGTTTTATTTCCTCCTGAGCCCACTGTTCAAGGCTCACGAAACCAGTCCCAGGAGGGATTAAAACAAAACAAAACAAAACAAACCCCACTACGAGCAATAACTAGAAGCACCCATGTGAAAGGGTCGTGACGTCCAACACTAGCTTTCAGTTCAGGCCAGGAGGCGGACTGTCACCACACACATTACAGAGGTTCCTTCCACCTTTGCTGAAGGCAGCTTTTTGGCTTGGGGGACTTTGGCAAACGAAAAAAACTTGTCAGTCCTCCCTCAAGTTCAGAGATATCTCCAGTTCCCAACCCCCAGCCTCAGACAACTGGCAAGGTTAACATTTCTCCTCCCTAAGACTGGGTAAGGGGCACCCAGGTTCTCCCCTCCCCAACCCTCTATCCAGGACTGAGTTAACAAACCAACAGTGGCTCTCAGGAGAGAGAGAATTCTACAGGGTCCGGCCACTTTTGTCAGGAGACTTTTATACACCGGGACAGAAGCACAGGAAGAGAAGGGAACCTCTCTATAGATTTTCTCCTCCAATCCTCCTTCCTCATTAGCATCCCCACAATAATGGCTAAGACACACAATACAAGAGCACTCTTTTTGTAAACGAAGATACTAGGGCTCCGAGGGGGTTCCAAGGCTGAAAGACACCGTATAGCTGACACAGCCATGTCTCTCTGGCTTTTTTCACCCCTTTAAAGGGTGAAGATGGGTTGACTCTCTTTGGAGTCAGGTGGAGGCCTGCCCACCCCAGTCCCTGCGCCCAGGTGGGGACCTACCTGCTTGAGCAAGAACTGGTCCTGGGCGTTGGTGCGCAGGGCAATGGCCAGGTGGAGGGCAGACAGGAGCACCCCGCTGAGTACCGCGGCCCGCATGCGCACAGGCAGGAGCGTGTAGATGGTATAGATGAAGAACACGGTCCACCAGATGCCTTCGGAGGCGCTGCGTGGCTGGGGCAGCAAGAGGCCCACCACCTGGACGGCCAGCACCACGGCTATGAGCGCGTAGCAGGCCAGGCCCATGTGGTCCTGGTGGAAGGCGGCACGGTTGCAGAGCACGGCCATGACGAGGATCACACTCACCGCGGCCACCAGCACGGCCAGGTAGGGCAGCTGGAGCGGGGGCCGCGCAGCGTGAAAGGCCAACATGACGAGGCACACTAGCACCAGCACAGCCATGAGCATAGTGAGGCTGCTCTGGTTCAGACGGAAGAAGTAGCGCTGGTACAGCCGCTCCAGCTTGTCCGACGGGAACTTCTTGGAGCGGAATATCTGCAGCAGTGCCAGGCAGCAAGCGCCCAGCGACAGCACCGCGCCGGGCGCCGAGCCCGAACCTGCTGAGCTACCGCCATCCCCGGACTCTTCGTCGTCCTCGACGGCACCGGCCTCCAGCTCGTCGGCCGCGCGGCCCTTGCCCCGCCGCTCCTCCAGGCCTAG